AAGGTTTAAAACTACTTATAAACACACACACAAAGTAACTCCACCAGAGTGCCTATTTCGGGTCACTTTTGCCGGTCAAGCCCGGATAAAGGAGCAGGGTTGGAATTGTGACATTAAAAAACAATAATTGCTAAAAGAAATTTAATTTGTAGTTCTAAATGCATTTAGGACGTTTTTTCTCACTTTATGTCTCTTCCACGATGTTATTTCTCTCTCCAACAGCGTAGGTTACAATTATATTAGCATGACCAATTATGCAAATTAGGTGATGACGTCATTTAGCGACTTTTAGGACAGCCAATAGCGATTTTCCTTACTGAGGAGTTGGCAACACTGATCAGAAGTCTAGAAGCCTCGGTGGGAAAAAGTAAACAAAGCTGGGGCATAGAAGCAGAACCGAGTCGTATGTGTGGAGGGACAGTAACTGTGTGTATATGTAAGCATTTAAACACTGCAGAGAGTAGAATTAACAGTAACAGTATTGTAGAAATTCATTTCACCGAAACAATAACGTGGCGCACAGTGTGACGTCAAAAAATGCGCACACCTTTGACGCTGCGTTTTCTCCGTTTTTCTAGTCCACACGTAAATGCAAAAACTGAGTTTTCAAAAATATCCACCCTGGCCGGAGTTTTTAAAAATCTTCGTTTTCAGTGACCAAAAACGCCGTTTACGTGTGGACGAAAGGTGCAAACGCATAGAAAAATCTGCGTTTTCAAAAATACCCGGGTACGTGTGGACATAGCCGCAGTTTATACAAGAAACAGCTGGCCCAATTAACCATGATCATTTGCAAGGTGTCCATTCAACAAAGTCAGTGTAATGTGAGGGCCAAGAGAGAGAGTTGGACCCCAAAAGCAGACACAACAGACCAAGATTTCCAAACACTGAAATCTTTATTCAACACAAAGAGGTCTGGGATAAGAGCAGGGCATTGAAAGGTAATCATGCAGGTGCAGCAGCAACTGTAACAGAAGGAGAGGAAGGTTATAAGCAGGCACTGAGAAAGATCGAGGATATTGCTGGGAGAAGTGTTGAGTCAGAGTTTGCGTGAAGAATAAAGTACGAAGGATCCAGGAGGGGCTTTTGCTGGGTGAGTGTCAATGGAGATGAGTGACGGCGGGCAGGACGGCAGGCAGGTGAGTTCTTTGATCCTTTTCAGATTTCCAATGAGCAATGGGTTGGCAGCAGCAGGTGAGTAGTCACGGGTAGCAGATCTGCACCAGGAAATCCGAGGAAAGAACTGGTTAGTGTGGGTAGTGATCCAGAAATGCCAAAGACTGAAGACAAAGAGAACAATAGATTAACACAGGATGTTACAAAGTTTAAACGAAGCATTGAAGCTGATTTACTGCTAAAGAATAGCTGACAAACTGGCGAAGACTGGAGGTGTGAGCTGGTCCTAAATACAGGTGAGCTAATTACTTACGATGCACTGCAGGTGAGGAGAAGAGGACGCATGAAACTGGAACGCCCCGGGGTGGAGATGGAGCTTGGTGCTCTGAAAAGGAAAAAACAATTTGTAGAAATACAAATTGAGAACATTTTGCCTAATTTGACTGTTGCAACTGCTGCTTTGGATGCCTTGCGATATAGAATCACTTGTCTGTTTAACTTCCTTTCATGGATCCTGTGATAAAAGGTGCTTTATCCTTTTCCCCTACAGTAATCTGTAGTTAATGAGAACCATGATGCTTAATGACGATAGCATGAAATTAATATATCTCTGGGGAATCAGCACTGAGTCAAACATAAGATAACCGATGCCAAACAGATCAGACAAGAGAAGACCATCTTTGACACTTTGATTGTTGAAAACATGTTGTGTGCTGAGAAGAAGAGAAATCTGAGCTCTTCTAACAGACAAAGTCATTGTTATTAGGTGAGCGAGGCACTGTCTCATTTTAATGGGTAAATGGTTTGTATTACTGGGTGATTTGACTTTACTGATTATTTTATTAACATGAGGCAGCTAATTTCTGTTGTAAATGTAAATGATAGTATGCATTATGTTTTATTTTATCTTGTGTATATGGAAGTTTAAGTTGTGCTTTTTTTAACAGGTTTGCTGCAACTTAAAGCTGCAGAATGCAGAATCTGACTGAACTCCCTTTTAATGCAACTTCCCAAAAAAGCCTGTCTGTTATCATCAAAGTATGTGCAGTTATCCCCTTCTTCTGCACCTTCCTCTACTGCATTGTTGTCATGCTGCATGTGTTTGCATCTCACAGGCAGTTCCTAAACACTCCACGTTACATCCTGTTTGCCCACATGTTGATCAATGACACCCTGCAGCTTCTGTCCTCTGTGCTGCTTTTCCTACTTGTAATGGGTCAGGTAAAATTTCCCGTTTTCTACTGTTTTCCTCTGCTGTTCATATCTACTGTTACTTATCAGAACACACCTTTAATCCTGGCTGCAATGTCCCTGGAGCGTTATGTTGCCATCTTCTATCCCCTGCAGCGCCCGGCCGCCTGGCGCTCAGGCCGTATCTGGATCATTAATCTTTGTCTGTGGCTTACAAGTTGCATTTTCCTCATAATCGAGTACTCCATCGGAAAGCAGCGTCCTGCTGTAGATGTCCTCTCTACACCTCTACTTTGCAAAAATTTATTTGTCAACTCATCTCCAATCCAAGCATTATTCAGAACTGCTGTGAGTGTGATGTTCTTTGCAGTTGTGGCTGTTGTCATCTTCTTCACATATGTGAGAATCCTGCTGGAAACCAGGAAGCTGAGACAGGACAGAATATCTGTGAATAAAGCCAAGCACACTGTGCTGCTGCACGGCTTTCAGCTGCTTCTGTGCATGTTGGCTTTCACTCTCCCCATCACTGAAACTCTCATATTGCTGTACACTAAATGGCCAGTAGAAGACGTTACCTATTTCTGTTTTTTCTGTTTTATCCTAATCCCACGCTTTCTTAGCCCACTGATCTACGGCTTCAGAGATCACAGTCTGAGGGGCTACATTGGGAAAACATTCCTCTGCTGCTTAGACACAGTCAAGCCCCATTTCAGAAGCAAACAGCAGGACAGCTTGTCTGCTTTATGAAAAAAACAGTTTAGACTCCTGCAGAAAACCTGTTCAGAGTATCTGCATCTCTGTCTGTCGGTTGCCCGAATGAACACCGAGCAATTTTTTACGCTGTAATTATTTTTTCCATTCACACTGGCTAATAACAGATTCCTTCTTATACTGCACGTGGAACAAACTAATAACCTAAAACCAGTCTTCATGAAATGACAGTAAGTGGAAAAAGTTACACTGGAGAGAAAACAAACTCTTTGTATTACTGTTCCTCCTCTAAAGCTCAATCTGGAAACACAAACAGGCAATATATTTAAAAATATATCTAACAGATCCAGTTTATTTGTCTGACTAACGTTTTTAAAGCCTCATATTACCTTCACATATTTTTGCACAGATCAAAGAATCTGGCTCATGATAGGGGCTCTGTAATTATCAGTAAATATTTACAGTAAATTTAAAAAAAAAAAATTTCAGTGGTAATTTAAATAGTGATTTGACTTCTTTTCCTTAAAAAGGCTAATAAAAGGTGTCTAAAATCTTAATAAGAAACTCCTCATGTTGGTCATGTGTTTGTGTCAGATATTTGCACTAATAAATGTTTGACAGCTCCATTACATCTCTAACCTACAATAGTTTAGAGTGAATCTCAGAAAATACTTTTTTGTTAAAAAATAACTGCACTATTAAAAGATGTCACTTTATACTGAAAGGAAATTCTACAAAATTGTGATAAAATGCCTTTATCATCTCAGTTTTATTCTTCAACACTTTGGTTGGTATTATCATTAAATCATCTTAAACTGCACTCTGTTTTAAAAAGCTGTACTTTGTGAACATTTTCTGCCGTTTTAATCTGAAATTTGCGAACCATAATGCTTTGACCTTTTAATCTAAGCATTATTGATAAGTTTGACATTTAGTAATCACATGTTTAAAATCTTATGTTGTCAGTATTATAAAGAAATCCTTGCAACAGTATTTGGATGCAGAACATTTGAATGCATATAATGATATTGTTTCTTATCAGACTTTGATGTTTACTGCATTTCTTTGAGGATGATTATCACGTGATGTTAATAAAACTGAACACAGAATAGAGCTGTTGAAAGTCTACAGCAGTAGATAAAAGATTTTCTTCTCGGTTACCCAACAAATTTGTTGTAGATTAGTCTTAAAAACTTAATTCCACAAATTTTTAATCTGAGAAAAAAACACCTTTTTTCAGATGAATCTCTTCATCATTAATATCACAGTTACAGCCTTCCTTACTTTACAATAAGTCATTGTCTCCTGCTTGTTACTTTTGCTGCACATGGCATCGCAATTCAATGGCAATCTGAAAATATCTTCATATTAATAATAAAAGAAAATCTTTACACAAGACTAAAATAGTCTTTACAATGAATTAAATACATTTGAGTTTGTTCTGGTTCGGTTTAACTCATTTTTAACTGCAGGCTGAATATTTAAATAGATCGTTTACAGCAATGTCAAACATAAAAATAATAATAATAATTTAGCATGTTTGATACATATTTTCGGCACATAATCTCACTTTAGAAGACCCCCCCTTCCCCCCCCCAAAAAAAAAACAACAAAAAACGAAAAAACATAGCCATTCTCCTCATCACTGAGTTCCTTCTCATCAGTCATTTTTTAGCCTAGATTGCACAGATTATATTCCATGCCATCTTCCGCTTTTGACACTTCCTTATCTAATCCATCCTCACTGCTAGTTTCCTGGCCTCCTCCTCCTCCTCCTCCACTGTACTGATCAAAAATCACCACCAGGAAGCGCTGTCCGTCTTTTAGGGATCCTTGCTGTGGCACTTCGCTGCTGCAGCTTGGTTGTTGCGCAGAGCTTTGTCCTGCAGATGTCGCTGTGATTCCAAACTCAGTTTTTGAAGAGCAGATGATTTCTCGTTGATTTTCACATTTTTAGAAAATTGACTTCAAAGTAAAACTAAACAAAATATTGCAAATATATTACATCGCATTATTTGCAAAAACTGAACTCATTTCATCAGCATCCGCGAAACCCCATAAATCAGATGATGTTGGTGAGTACATGAGCGCAAACTAATTGTTCTGAATGAATCCAGGCTGTACGTATGATATGATGAACAGAGGGCGAAGGCTGATCTCAGATCAGCTGAGAGCCTGCTCCAAATGCTGAAGCTCAGCGGTGCTGTTCAGCAAAACTGAGAGACGCAATTAGAACTGGTGAATCTGCCGAGGAAGAGAGCGGACAGCTCACTTTCGGAGATGAAGTTTTGTGTTCTTGTTTGCTTTCTCTCGGGCCTCCTGAGTGTCGTTAGAGGGGAAATGTATACATCGCTGCTGAACGTAAAGCAGGCGGTCAGAGTTGAACGGAAGCTGATCGATTACCTGAGAACTTACATTGACCACGAGTTGGACAGACTTGAAGACATCAAACGGTGAGTAATGGTGAAACACTGGAAACAGATTTGATTGTAAAGGATTTAAACGATGTGTATCTTGGAAAATATCACACAGAATTAAAAGAAACCCCCATAGGTATTGTTATCTCGGTTTGTTCGAGTTTTCCAGAGGTGGTAATTAACCCGGGAGACACTGCACACACACACATAGTAAATAGTAATAGAACAAGCGTTGCAGATGTGAGGCTTGATAGTGAAATGATCATATAATGAACTACATAAACCTTATATGTATGTCATTAAAAAGCAGAAAAAATAGACTAGGTTTTCGTGGCTTTATTTCACAATGTTGTATGCAGGATCACTGTTACAAAACTAAGTCACTTCCCGCTAATTTATACAAATAACTCTATAGTTTTGTTTGTTTGTTTTTTTGTAGAATTGCTTCTAATTTTTCTTCTGGTGAAAATAATGTTTTGTGCATAAAATGCCATTTTAATTATTGAGTTTTTATTGTTTCCAGTCTGAAGACCCTGTTTAATAATTCTGTATCTTCACACAGTTTTTATGCCAAAGTATCCGACCTGCACACAGAACTTTACAAAGGCCCAGCGGTCACAATGGCCAACCCTCTGGTGGCTTTTACTTTGATCAAACGTCTTCATTCAGAGTGGCTGAATGTCGTCTACAGCAATGAAGCCCTCGAGAACCTACAAGGTTGCCCCACTGCCTTCTTCAAAGACACATCTGGTGGTGATATCTAAGCATCCACCCCCCTCTACTGTCACCACCCAACCCCTCACCATTCACCTTTTTGCCCCTCTGCTGTCCAGCCCTCAGGTCCAGTTACGAGGAGGAAGAGGCTGATCTCCCCAATCTGGAAGACCTCCAAGGGGCTGCTAAGGGGCTAATGAGGCTGCAGGATGTATATGCTCTGCAAGTTTCCAGCCTTGTAAGGGGCCGTTTCCAGAGAGTCACTAATGGCGAGTCTGTGGATGTCTACATGCCTGCAGTATCTGTCCAGCTCTCTGGTGATGACTGCTTTCTGGTTGGGAAGGTACTGAAAAAATTATGTACTTTGGAAAAAACACAATCCTGCATGTAAAAGAACAGAAATATTTGGAAAATTTAAGTAACAAAAATAATGGTGCTGTTTTACTATGTAGCATCTTTTACGTTTGGCTCCCAGCCCAGGGTTTGGTCATGTGATGGGCGATGCCATGTATGTTCTCCTCCTATGCTTAATGTGTTGGGAAAGAAAATCTTCTACTGCTACACAAATACGTGTTCACAATTTTGTCTTATTTGTCTAAGTTTTACACTTTAGATCAAAAAGTAATTTTTACCAAATTGCCTGAAAGGCAAACCATTCATCAGTGAATCTAATAACGACCTAAGCCTACATAAAAGATGGATAAAGCCACAATGACATCATTCAAAGGTTGGCGGGTTGATGTTTAAAGCTTTGAGTCTGGCATTTTGACCATCTCCATATTGGGTTTTTTTGAGCCAGAAGTGAACAAATGAATTTGAAGTTAAATTATCTGTGGACTGTAAAGGGGCATTGCACTTAACTTTCAGTTAGTGCAAACACTGAGAAAACCATAAAAGTGGTGCACAAACCTCTTGGCAGGCTGTTAGTGCAGTTAACCACAGAGCAGGCCATATTATTTGTCCGATTACTGCAGTAAAATCCTCCAAAATCAATACCAGAAACAAAGTCGAGAGAGAAGGTTCAGTGACTTGATTTAGTAGAGATGACATCTAAACAGGCAGCTGTTAGCTTCAGCTGTATGTGTTGGCTGCACCACCCGCTTTAATCTTTAACAATGCAAGATTATTGTTTTCTTTTAAACAGGAAAATATAGCTGTGTTATAAATGTTTTCAAATAAAATGTGACGAAGCATAAAATGAAAGCAGTGTAGAGTATACAGTATTTGTGCCAACTCTGTATTTCTTAAAAGCACAACAAAGGAAGTGTGGTGCAAGTACACATCTGTCTTCTTTCTGGAACAGCTGTCAGAGTAACATAAGGTAGGAGGAGTCACTGAAGGAAATTAACGTATTTGGAAGTTGGTGTCCTGAAAAGTTTTCACTCTGGTTAACATCCCGTTCCAGAGGGCTGCAGTTTTATCCCAGACTTGTTAATAGTTCTGTTGTGGGAACCTAGACTAGAAAACTGGGATTCTTTCCATTGTGTGCCTGGGAATTCTTTTCATGCGCAGATGAATATAATATTCTATAGAAGGGGAAAAAAAGGAGATTTTCCCCACAATAAATTCCACTGTTTTCATGCAGTGGTTATGTGTAAGGGTAGGGCACTGTGTGGGAGAGACATACTCTTGTATGGAAAAGACATTAAGTCATGCTGCAAAAGCTTGTCTTCACTTGTACCAGGGCTGAAATTATGTGAGGCGGTCAGTCAGCAGAGATGCTTAGTTTTAGGGTTTTCTCTATAACAGAGCTCCTGCATGCATGTGCTATCATGTAGTTTTTAAACTGATCTTCAAAACCAGACACATTTAACACAAATTTGAGTGTCTCAGTTTTAGTGGGGAGAGGTTTAGGGCCCTTTAAGGTAATTGCCAGCTGACGCTTCCCTCAGGCTCATTACCTCATCAGCTGAGTATTTTTACACATTTATTGCTCTTTAGGCTATTTCTGTTAAGAATAGCTGATCTTAAATTAAAGAGTGAAATGTGGGTGTAAACCTGTGGTGGATTAACTCAGCATGTGTGATGAGTTGGTGGGCTTCTGTGTGTGTTTGTGGGGGTTAAATAGCACACATGGAGCTGTGGTTGTGGATGTAATCTGTGACGGGAGGAGTCTCTTACAACCCACTTTCAGTGTGGGTGCTGTCAGCCCTTTAGTCAGCACCTACTTCATCAAGTCAGGTCAACTGCTAAACTGCTTTGAACCTAAGTAAAGGAGACCTTTAGTGTTTGTGACTTTCAAAATCTAAAAATGCTGTAGTCCAGTTTTATATTTCCACATCATACATGAAAATGTGATGCAGGGACACACTCTATGGAAGACATGCCTACATGTAATGCAAATCTACCGCCCATATTCGGTTACAGAAATGTCCAGATTATTTTTTTATCTACTTGCTTCAGGCACTGATGAGAATCAGGCTGAAGAGGTCTGTTAGGTTTACTTTATTGACTCTGCAACCTAGATTTTTTTCCCAATTATATCTTTCAGCTGACACCACTTTGTAGTACTTTATCAGATTTTGCAGAGCTTCTCTAAAATCATGAGACCCAAGGAAAAGAGAAATTCAAAAGACAAAGTCAGTTTTTGAAAGAACAAAGAAGGAATTCATTTATTTTGGTTGTGTGTGTTTATCAGAGATTTGATTCCAGGTGTCAGTGTGCTGCGAAAGGTTTCTGAAACTGGGCCTTGATGGCAGCTGTAGAACATAAGCTGCTACATGATACACGCAGGATAAAAGGGGGGACTAAACAAAAACTGAAAGTGGAAGAGCACAAGGAATAAACACAGGTGGGTGAACAGATGGGCTGACAATAGGGTGAAGGTGAGGGAGAGACAACAAAAGCAAAAATAGCCATAAAGGTGTGGAACAAGAACAAAGGAAAGCAATTAACAAGAAGCACATATAGAAGAATTGAGAAGGTACAAGGCATCACAGGACACACAGAAGAGTAAACCCTAAGAAAAAGGATGGCGGTGATATGCAAAAAAATGAAACAAGATCCTAACCCAGTAAATCCAAAAGAAAAGAATTCAAGTCAAGCTGAAATGGCTAAAATGGCTCAGCCAGCCACAAACATATATCAGCTGACTATCATGAGAAACTATCTGACTCTGGCTGCTGACTCTGACTCTGGCTGGTCTTACAGTTGTTAGTGTGATCCTTACTGAAATCATCCCTGCAACCACAAAACCTCACAAATTCTGGCTGACATGGATGCAGTATTCAGCTCTTCAGTTCTAGACAGACTCTGTTTAAATTGTGAAGTACTTGTTTTTTTTGGTGTTATTGTACCCAGGTGGCCTATGAACAAGAAGACTATTATCACTCAGTGCAGTGGTTGGAGGAGTCTGCGCGCCTTTTCAGGGGAGCAGGAGAGGAGTGGAGCCCTGAAAATGAAGGCACTTTGGAGGATGCTTTGGATCACCTTGCCTTTTCTCACTTTAAAGTAAGTAAACAGACAGACTGAGGAAATTTGCATGATTGATGATTTAGATTTCTCTGAAATCCTTTTCTTGTCTCAGACAGGAAACGTCTCCTACGCTCTGAGTCTATCTCAGGAGTTACTGCATCACAGTAAGGCTCTTAAAACCCCTTTTCTCAGTGAACTGTGTCATCCCTCTCTCAGACTGTTTACACATTTTCTTTCTCAGATCCAATGAATGGAAGAGTTTTGCAGAATGTTAAGAAATACGAGAAGCTCCTGGTTGCTGCTGGTCCACCCAGAGGAACTGGGTTGACGAGACCCTCCTCCAGTTTTTTAAGGACCAGGGACACTTATGAGAGACTCTGCCGGACTCGAGGCTCTCAGGTATTGCAATAATGAGGAGCAGATCAGGACAGGAACACATCAAACTTTTCAAATGCATATACAGTAATGTAGCCTTGAGTTACAGGGTTTTATGTCACTGGATGTTCAGTGTTTCAGGATGCACTTTATTTAAGAGGATGTTTTGTTTTTTCATTTTTACATGGACTACAATTTAAATATTTACATCAGTGTATGTAGATGTCATGTGAGATAAAAGTTGAGGGAATTTTGGAGAGCCTTTTTTAAAATCTTCACATCGGTATGCCAATAAAACTAATTATTTTTTCACCTTTTTTCACCTGAAACATGCCTGTCACACTCATGAAATTATTTCATCAAAAGTAAATACGTATTTATTTACATAGCCTCTTTCAAGATAAAAGCACAAGCACAAACTTCACATCAAATAAAAACAACAAACATGGAAATTGACACTAAGATACTGCTGACAAAAAAACCCAAAACACCACCAGTACTAACAGAGGAAAATCTCAGTGATTTGATTTGATTTCATCCTCTGAGGATCCTTAATTTCTGTCCAAAAACACATGAATCCATCAAATTAGTTTACAAATGTAAGTCTTGACCAAAGTGCCGATCTGAAGTCATAAAGCTTCGCTCCTAGCATACTCTAACAACTTCATTTAATTTCTACATTTTTAGGTCTGTAAAATGTTTTCTTAGCTTTAAAAAGCACCGCAAAAACTCTAAATGTCGTCTTTGTTTTTAAGCTTTTATGTGGTGACAAGATCCATTATATGAGTAACTGTAGATGGATATCCATGTTTTGATCTTGTTAATAGACTTCATATGGTCGTTGCTTCTTACAGCGCAGGCATTTTGCAAATCCCCAACTCTTCTGTGACTACTTCACCAACAACAATCCTGCACTGATACTGATGCCTGCAAAACGGGAGGTGGTGAGCCTGCAGCCGTATGTGGTCCTCTACCATGACTTTGTCACTGACACAGAGGCTGAAGACATCAAGAGCCTCGCCCAGCCAGGAGTGAGTGCTCATCGCATGTGGTCAAACAACCCATGTGCCTTCAATACGTTAGATTTTTGGGAATTAAAAAACAAACAAACAGTGTCTTAACGTCTTGTGTTTTAGTTGATTCCGTCAGATTGTTGAATGGTTTTGTAATCCAAACTTTTGGAGAATCTTGTCAACAAAGGGAGGGGGTTTCCCACATGGGACTCACAAAACATGAATCTGCAAAATGTTAACTTAGCAACAAGAAGTCAAATCAACAAAAGCACTAAATGAACACTTTTTTCCTTTGCAAAGTCACATTAAGGTGTGGGACTGCCAAACTGAAGCATATAATAGATGTTCTAATAGACCAAATCAATATATATGTATATGTGTGTGTCACTAACAAACATTATCATTCGACAAGTTTTTTCTTTAACGAAACACATCTTTCGGCCTTTGGAGCTTTTATTTATAACAGATAAAGATTCAGAGTAAACTTTTAAGTCATGTTTCTTGATGGTGAAAAACATTAAATGCTGAATTGTTATAAACAGTTAATACATTTAGTTTTTAAAATTTGGTACACTTAATTAATGCATGAGTAGAGGGAATCTAATATTTTAATATAGATGTATATAAAATGCTGTGAATAGAAATGTAGGTCATAATGAGTACTATTAATTTTAGTGCTTTTTGCTGATCATTCTTTAATTTTGCAAAGACGAGACTTGAATCTAGACCGTGTGTAGGTGTGTTACAAAACGCCTCTGACTGCTGGCGTCTAAGCCAGACTTCCTACTGGGAAGATTCTGGAGGGATCATATAGCGGAAGAGTTGGCGTGCTTCCAAACGTTTAGCAAAGCTTAAGGAAAAGAGGAATACATTACTACAAAAACTTGGCTGAATTCCTCAAACTGTCCAAATAAACCAACAGAGCTGGGGCCGATAAATGTTCAGTCCACGATAGCTGAGTCTTAATATCCAATGAGTAAAGTGAAACTTTACTGCAGTGGATCGTCCTGAGAGCTCTTCAGTCTTCTGATGCAGGAAATATTTGGTGGGATAACACATTTGCTGCCCCTATAGTTTCTGTGAGGTTTTGGCATTGTTCAGTGGGTTTTCCATCTCTTGCTCAGATGGAAACCCCTGTACTTATTTCATCATTATGTCAGCTTGTGGGCTGATTGAAAACAGGCCCCTGGTCTTAGTTTGGAGCAGAGAGTGGAATGGAGCATGGTTTCCAGCTTGCTGTTGCTAGATCCCAGAATACAGGTCTGTTAACAAACAGTTTAAATAGGTTTTCTTGGTGATTAATTGTTTGAACTGTATATATTGAGTTGAATATTTCACTACTAATTCTCAGCATGGAAATGTTTGTGTATACCTGTTGGAAAATTGGAAAACAATCATGAAAACCGGAGAAGCTCTGTGGTTTACACAAATATATTTGCGGTGCTTTTTTCTCAGGTTCTGCTTCACTTTCCTCCAAAGTCCTAAAAAGAAGAAAGGATTAATGGAAACCCATCCTTAGATGCATTAAAGTTTGGCTGCTGTAACATTCGCAAAATTAAGATGCTTTTTTCTGTCTTTGCTAACAAGCTGAGAAGGTCTGTAGTGGCAGCTGGAGAGAAACAAGCAACAGCAGACTATCGGATCAGTAAGAGGTACAAACATCACCTCTTGTTACTCTACTACTGCCATAACAATAAAAACATCTGCTGCAGGTTTACTACTACATGCAGCTGGTATTTCTTTTCAGTCACAGTATCATTTTATTAATCAATATCTTTTATTGCTAGTGCATGGCTGAAGGGTTCAGCACAGTCTATTGTTGGGAAGTTGGACCAGAGGATCTCACTGCTCACAGGTCTGAATGTGAAGCATCCATACGGCGAGTACCTCCAGGTGGTAAATTATGGGATTGGTGGCCATTATGAACCTCATTTTGACCATGCTACTGTAAGTTTGTTGCGTTAGTTGATTAGCGCTTATTTACATGGTGATAGTGGATATTTTAATTGCCTTTATAATGTCTGTTTGCATTTCTGTAAAAACAGTCACCTTCAAGCCCCGTGTTCAAGTTGAAAACTGGGAATCGGGTGGCTACATTTATGATATATGTGAGTAAAGTCGAACCATCTATTGACCCTATTTGACCCCGTAGCTAAAAGTTCTTTGGCAGTTCTTTTTCAGCTGTCCAAAAGTCTAAATTAAAAATAAACACATTTGGAGAACCTGGCCAACTTGGACAGCAAGCCTGAGAAACTGACAACAGTAACTACATTTACACTTTAGGGATATTCTGCCACGCAACAAACTTGAAACAAACTCTCACAGTCACCTTCTTATTTGTCCTGATGCGGTGGCTTCAGGAAATATTTGGTGGGAGAACACATTTATTTGAACCTTTTATTTGTGTTCATGTAACCAATTTGTCCTTCTGCTGAGTGCTTTTGTCCTTACAATAAAAGTAAAACTGGGTGGTGATTGAAAAAGAATGAGTTTTCAAACACTGCAGCAGACAGAGCGGCTTTTCATAACATGAGCACGTAAACACAAGACACAGCTCTGAAGGAATGTCCTTTTCCACAGCTCAGCCCCGTGGAGGCAGGTGGGTCCACAGCGTTCATTTACGCCAACTTCAGCGTTCCTGTTGTGGAGGTAAATACACTGCAAATATCTTAGTATCTGTTACTTTTATTTCATATTTTTCCCTTTTACACATTTAAATAAGTTTGGTGTCAAAATACTAAATGTCCGATCACAGAAACAATAGCCTTGAGATGAATTTACTACTTTATTTCACTACTACTTTACTTTGCAAAGTCAGTGGAGGGTTTTTTTTATCTTTTGTTTTTTGGTATGTTTTTCTGGTTGATAAATGAGCTGCAGTATAAAGTTTAACAGGCCATTCCTGGGGTTTAACCTTTCACCTTAGAACTCATTTCTTGTCCAAACTTCAGAGAAAGATAAAGTGACCAAAAAAAGAAAAAAAAAAGTAAGAAAGAGAAGTCATACACATTGGTGACAAATTAAAAGAAACACCACCATAAAAAGTAAAATACTAGGAAACAATGCCAGCATATTCAATGCCAAGGTGTTCAGATGCCAACACCTTGGCATTGATTCTTCAACTCTCTGGAAGTCTTTGAAAAATGCTCTTTGAAAAGAAATTTCCCCCTTTGGTGTTTTAATTATGGCCCTGGGGAGACAAGGTCTAACATGGTAGTCCAAATCTACCACAGGTTTTAAATTTGGTTTGCTGTGGTTACTGTGAATGCCAAGCACGGTTTAAAGCATTTTTAGACACAATAAACCATTTACTGACCTCTAGGATGTAATATCGTCCTCCTGCGACTGTATTGACTTGCAGACATCCTGTTTAAGGGGACAAGTGGACCATGTCAGCAAACATAGCAGAATCCAGTGTGCTTTTTTTTGGGGGGGGAAAAATAAAATACTTACGCAATAAAATACCCACTTTTTAAACTTGTTTACTTAATAATATTATATAGGCCAAAAATTAAGACTATAGAACTTATTATTAAGTACTTAAAATAACTGATAGTTACTGACCATAGTTTAAACCACACTTCTTTTTTTAAGATACTCAAAATGATTTGTTTTGTTTTTCATGTCACAGAAAGCTGCTATCTTCTGGTGGAACCTGCACAGAAATGGTGAAGGAAACGACGACACACTGCATGCTGGCTGCCCCGTACTTATTGGAGACAAATGGGGTAAGACCCAGGTGCATTATGATGTGACAGGGCTGTGAAAAAGTAGCGTAAATATGGAAAGTAGCAAATCAGTCACCATCGCTTATCCAGCATTCAGCTCTCCTGATATGCTGGTGCACATCTGTACCCCATTAGGCATTTAGAGATGTGGCAGAGAGCAGTTCAGACACTTGGAATCTAAACATCTGCTGATGCCTGAAACCAGGCCATCACACGTGTGTTCAGGACTCAGTTAAGCTGACAGAAAGATATTAATCATTGAAAAACAGCTGCAGAAGTATTTAGTGAAGGTGTTGTTTTTAGCAGCCATATATATCGCCAGATATTAACCTCCAGGCTACACTTTCCAAGTACAATGACTCCAAGTACAAGTTGAAAATATTCAACAGCAAAAAAAAAAAGAAAAAAACTTTCATGATACTGTTTTTTTTTTTTTCTGTAGAAGATAATTTCACATGATTTGTGTCTATCTTTGTGTTCCAGTGGCAAACAAATGGATCCATGAGTATGGTCAAGAGTTCCAACATCGCTGCAGTCTGAATCCTCAAGAGTGAAGGGGTGGAGCCATTGCTGGGCCCCTTTGGAGTGCAAGCCTTTGCAATTGTGAGCCACAGGGAGAGAGAAGGAGGCAGCAGGAAAGTTGATGCACAAGCAAGGGCAGCGAGAGCTGGGGAAGCATGCATCTGTGATTGGAGCCCTAAAGCCCCAGGGATCCTGGAGTGTACAGCGGACACTGCTGCAGTGGACATGGTGGAGGAGGAGGAGGCAGAGGAGGAGTGGGGCATCTGGCAGCCAGCCCCCAAGGGCGAAATGCTCTTTCTGGCCAGTTCCTGCAGATGGATAGAGGCCTTTGCCTTTGCACACTGTGCTGGCTTTAGTACACTGTGCAAGGCTGTTTACCTCCTGCCAGCTTTAAACAGAGATCTTATACAGCCCTGTTCCTACACTGGGCTCACTCAGGGATCTGCTTTTACAAATCAAACTTTATTTTGAAATATAAATAGTAAATTAATAATAAATACTAAGTCAACAGAGATAATCAGTGTCTCAGAAAGAATCAGGTTTCAAGAGGTTAAAATCCGAGTCACCAGAGATTAATGTTGTCAGAGCTCAGGCTCGAAGTTCAGGCTGGTGCCAGTGAGTCAAAGGAAGTAGAAATTGTGAATGTGCCTGCGCATTCCCAGCTGGCTGAATGATGTGGTCATTGCTGTCTGTGGAAGACTCTTTGAATTTGGTTGGATTTAACTGAATGTCTCATGGAACAAATGAACCAGCAAGAGTAGAGAGTTGAGGTTCAGATTCTGCTCTTCATTAATGTTGGAACTTGTGTAAACTCACATGAACAATCCTGACTGCATACTATTCAGATATGAGTGTCTAAGTAGGTCATAACCCATCATAAAACAGTGCTGAAATTCACTATATGAGGTAGGAAAAGCAGGATTGGATGTATGTGACATGTTGGAGATGCCCTGCTGCTTGAGTGGCAAGGATCTCTGAATAATACCTTTGCTCACCGCAGTGTACACAGACAGTGCTTCCAAATATATAAACCAGCCTGTTTCACATTCCTGCATGCACAGTAAAGAGCAGGATTGTTTTCCCAGGGAGATGATGGATAGACAGGCTCGACTGCTCTGAAGCTCTAATAACGCTTTGCTTGTCATGTGTAAGTCACAGGAAATGCTCAAAGCAAAAAGATCTTAGAACACAAATTTATTTCATTTAAAGAATAACTAAATACTACTATATTAAAAAACACTGTAGTTACAAGCTGGGTTAGGTATTTAGTTTCATTTTCTTACCTATAAAATCATCTAAATCATCTATTTTTTAAATTAATAAAAATATTATTTTTATTTCATCAAATCAGAAACATCTCAATAATCAGAATGGTTTAAAGTAATCATTTCTTTCTGTCTGTTTTAAAATTTACTGTTTCTTTTAGAACTGAAGGAGTTTTAATCTGCGCTCTGGATGTACTCATTATCACTGGTTCTCACTGTTTCCACAGCAAATATAGCTGCAGATGGACTTGCTGCTCTGCAAGCGTAAAGTCCAAACTATTTGAAGCTCACATAACCAGAGGTCATAATATCAGGTCATGCGTAGGTCTTCCTCGGCACACTGTCAAGAGCACACAGTGATTCTGTGCCTCACAAAACAAATTCTTCAGAGCCTTATGGGTCTTTCTAAGTTTTGAGAACTAAACGAACACTTTTTAAAGTCAGTGAGTTTGCACAACTGATGGAAAATACAGATAAGTAGCAACATAAAA